ATAGGGTCCCTGCGAGCCAACCTCACCTGCCATCACTTTCCTCCCCAGAGGTCTCCACTCCAACAGCGGCCATTTCTTGAGCACCTACTGTGTGCCAGCTTGTGGGATCTGGTGCCATTTGCAGTAAGACTGCGGTTCCTGTTTTACACAAAGGAAACAGGCTGAGGATGATGGCCCCAATGATGGTCCACGTCTGTCTGGCGCTCAGGGGGAGGATTCTAAGAACCCTGTCTCAGAGCCCCATCAACGAGACCTGTCTCAGGACTCGCAAGCCCCACCTCTGGTTTTGTCTCCAAACCAGGTCCTTCACTCCTTCAACAGGATACCCTTACTCCCCTGCCCCCAGAATCCTCAGCTAATTCTCTCACTCCCTCTCAAGCTCCTGTCATTTCTAGCACGTCGTACTCATTGCTACCCTGTTACACCCAGGGCCCACCCACCCACATAGGCCCCAGGGTCCCGGCAGAAACAGCAGCGATAAGCAGCAGCATACCCAGGAGGGCCATCCCATTCTTCCTCCCTGACCCAGGATGGTAGACCTGAGGGGCGGGCAGGGAAAACCCAGACGCCAGACGCAGGGTTTGCGCCCCTCTCCGGGCGCAGTTCCGAGTGCAGCCACCAGATGGCGCCCGGCTCGCTCCAGCGGGGCTTGCAGTAACACTGTGCGGTCGCCAGATGGCGGTCGAGACCGCAGCTCAGCGGGCAGTGCCGGAACAGGGCGGAGACTGGAGGGCAGGCGGGTCCCCGTGTGGGCCCAGGAGCCCCAGCCAAGTGACCCCGTACTTCGCTACCTCCTGGCCACATCATGATCCATCCCGCACCCCGGCTCTCGGTGCCCGCCGCGCTGGCACTGGCCTCCGCCGCACTGGGCGCCGCTTTCGCCACCGGCCTTTTCCTGGGTGAGTAGGGCGGGGCCTGCGGTACCCCCAGCAGAGCCCCCGCAGGCGGGGCAGGTGCGGGAGCCGAGCCCGTGACTCCGCGAGGCGGGCTGCGGGTGAAGCTCCGCCCTAGCGCCCCGGAGTCCCAGGCCCTGACCCGGACCCCTCCGCGGCAGGAAGACGGTGCCATCCCTGGCGCTCCCGGCGAGAGAAGCGCCTGCTGCCCCCTGAAGACGACCCCCTGTGGCAGTATCTGCTAAGCCGCTCCATGCGGGAGCACCCGGCGCTGCGGAGCCTACGGCTGGTCAGCAGGGCCAGGGGCGGAAACAGGCGCCCACCTCAGACCCAGCGGGTCCCACGTGCTTGTGTGACCTTGGGCTGGGCCATGGCGCTCTCAGGACTTCCGGGACTCCGCGGGCTGGGCGCGGTGGGAGTTTCCTGAGAGCGGGTCCCCCCCACCACCACGCCCACGGCCGCGCACCTGGAGGGGGTTGTGGGCGGGGGGAGGCGCTGGGTGACTGGCAGTGCTGGCGCGACCCTTTTCCCTCCCACCACCGCGACACAGCTGACCCTAGAGCAGCCGCAGGGAGATTCGATGATGACCTGTGAGCAGGCCCAGCTTCTGGCCAACCTGGCGCGACTCATCAAGGCCAAGAAGGCACTGGACCTGGGTAGGGCTCACGGCCGGAATCTCTGGGGGCCTAAGTCACGGGGATGTCCCCCAACTCTGGCCCGAGCCTGTCCATATCTCTTGCCCCCCCAGGTACTTTCACAGGCTACTCAGCCCTAGCATTGGCCTTAGCGCTGCCCCCGGCCGGACGCGTGGTGACCTGTGAGGTAAATCCGGGGCCCCCGGAGCTGGGGCGGCCCCTATGGAGGCAGGTGAGTGTCCCACACATTTGAGAGGCCCTTGGAGCCTGGCCACTCCCAGCTCCAGGATAAAAGACTTGCTGGCTCTGATCCCACTCCTTTCGCAGGCTGAGGAGGAGCACAAGATCGACCTTCGGTTGAAGCCTGCCCTGGAGACACTGGGTGAGCAAACGGAGTGGAAAGGGCCTTGGCACCATTTTCCAAGTGGGGCCACTGGGCGCGCGCTAGTGACCAGGTCCACAGGGGGGGCCTTGAGGCAGTGACAGCCCCCCTGCCTCCTGGCTTCGCAGCTGCCATGTGGCCACATGCTGGATGGCAGAGTGCCCCTCCAGGCCAAAGTCCCTTGAATGGTCACAGCGCCTAGTCAGGCTTGGGTAGGGGCTTCTGACTGCTGGGGCTGCGGACTCAGCCACATCTGCGCCCCCCTCCCCTGCAAGATGAGCTCCTGGCCGCAGGGGAGGCCGGCACCTTCGACATGGCGGTGGTGGATGCCGACAAGGAGAACTGCACTGCCTACTATGAGCGATGCCTGCAGCTGCTGCGCCCTGGAGGCATCCTCGCGATCCTCAGTGTAAGGGATAGGCTCAGGGGAGAAGGAAAACCCCACACTCGGTCTCCGTCTTTTCACTTGGCTACTCCCTGTGCCTCGCCCCAAGCCACAAAGCCCCACCCAGTGCACTCATGTAGGCTGCCCCCTTCAGTCCCCTAGGCTTTCCCCACCTGTGGTCCGAGGTCTCCACCTCTTGCCCTGCTCGCTTAGGCACCTTCCCTCTTCCCTCTGCTGCTACCACCCCCATGTCCCGCCCCTCCGCAGGTCCTGTGGCGCGGAGAGGTGTTACAGCCTCAACCACGGGACAACGAGGCCCAGTGTGTGCGAAACCTGAATGAGCGCATCTTGCGGGACGCCAGGGTCCACATCAGCCTCCTGCCTCTGGGCGACGGCCTCACCTTAGCCTTCAAGATCTAGGGACGGCCCCCAGCGCGTGGTCTCAAGGGAAGGGATGTGGGAACCCCAGACATCAACCCTGACTTTTAAATTCGACAATAAAGTGGGGTCTGGGACACGATCTTCTGAGCCTCCATATTTGGCGCTAAAGTGGGTAGGGAGGAGGCCCAGCATTGGCAGGTTCTAAACCAAAAGGGGGCCCTGAGGTCAGATGTCATCCCTTCCTTGGCACAGTCCTGAGAGCCACCTGGCACCAGGTCTACTGCCAGCTAACTGGAGGCAGGATATAAAGTTCTGACTGACCTGGCCACATACATACAGGAGGCCAGCTCCTCAGGTCTGCCTCCATGCCACAGGATCTGAGGGCTAGCTGCAAGGTAGAGCCCCCACCCCTTGGTCTCCCTCCTACTTCACTTCCTAGGAGGGGCAAGTGAATGAAGGTCTTGTTTGGTGCAGCTGGGACTGGCTGGAAAACTCTATCTGGAGTTCAACAGGAAACAGGCCTTGTAGCCAACCAGGTTCGCCACTGGGCGCTTTCATGGGTTATGCCAGTTCTATTTGCCCATGTCTTCACAGAACTCAGCTCGACCTCACCTCTGCAGTGGAGGCTCTGCTCAGTGGACATCACCTCAGAACCAGGCCACTTGACCTAGACCTGAGGACCTCAAGGTTGGAGTATATATCCTGTCCTCCCCCTGAAGTCCTGGAGGAAGGTGAGGGACTGGGTGGGATCACTGGCCAGAAAGGAGTGAAACAGGCCTATAGGTAGGAGACTATCAAGTATGGCAGTTTTTAAAAGTTCCCCATAAGAAGATGAATATAAAGTTAGGCTTTCCCACACCAACATCTATGAGAGGAGGTGGATAGGGAGCCAGGCCCTTCACTCCTCATTTGGACTTCCCTAATCCCAGTCCCACAGAAGTCCTACAGGAAGATCGTGTCTCCATGTCACAGGTGAAGGTCAAGGCAGATATTAAGTATTCTTCCACTAACTGCCTCAGCCTAGAATAGTTAGGTTTTGAACCAGGGTTAGGCCTGGGTCCTCTAAGGCTGGAGACTATTAGAAACAAGGCCATAGGAGCACCTGGGTGGATCAGTAGGTTAAAGCCTCTGCCTTCTGCTCAGGTCATGATCTCAGGGTCCTGGGATCAAGCCCCGCATCGGGCTCTCTGCTCAGCGGGGAGCCTGCTTCCCTCTCTCTCTCTGCCTGCTTCTCTGCCTACTTGTGATCTCTGTCAAATAAATAAACAAAATCTTAAAAAAAAAAAAAAAAGAAAGAAAGAAAAGAAACAAGGCCAAGGCCACAGGGGCCACAAGGGCCCACAGCTGGCAACTTCCATCATCCTCCATCTCCTTGGACATACCTAGAATTTTATGCAACCCTCAGGGCCCTGGGTGTGATCCAGCCTTCGCTCTCCCGCATGTTAAAATGCTGTTAGGATGCACCTGGGTAAATACGTCCAAATTACTCTTCAATGTATCTTTGACCAAATGGTAATTCACTTGTGCCACACCCCAGTCCTGAGTTCAGGACCAGGTAATGTCCAGCCATAGCTGAGGGAAGGCCGCCTGTTAGCTCTGAGGCAGCAGGCATCCAGGGGCCACAGCAGCTACCGGCCTATGACCTCCCCACCAGGCGGAGTTGCAGAGATGTCTGCTGTTCTACTTCACACCTCTCTTGAGTATCCCAAAAGCAGATGTGCTTTCACACCCAACTTACAGACATCTTTTCCTGTTTGTTTGACCTAGCAAAAGATCCTGACTCCAACAAATTGGCTCAAGTTCCAGCTGTCTGCCATTAAATCATGTGTCTTATTCACACAGGCCATTCCTGCCTGTCTCATAGCACTGTACACATTGGCGAGTGTGTACAGCCTTTCTTTGCCTGGGGTCAACAACAATCCAATGGATCTCTGGACAGACTTACAAACTGAAGATATAAAGGCATATATCCTCTTATTTTATTGTAGTCCAAAAAGTTCATGGAGTTACTTTAGAGACACAGAGGACTTTGACACAGATTTAGGTAAAAAGCAAAACACTCCCCAGAAAAATAATGTGCTAGCTAGATACAAGGGAGATCTGACCCTGGCAAGTGTTTAAACTCTGCAAATACTTGGGAATCATTAATAACGTATACTTCTTTTTATTCATAATCTGTAATGTTTGGGGATACCAAAAGTAATTCTAAGGATGGCTGAATTTAACAAAAAATCTTTAACCTCATCTTAAAACTTCCACTGATCCATCTCGTTCAATGGCAATTTTCAGTAATAGGAACATAAAAACAAACATGCACACAACTGCACAGTTTTCATAAAGGTCTATTTCATTATTGGTGGGTAGCGCATTTAACAGTTAAATACATTTAAATAATGTATAGGTGACTGCACCACTGCAGCATTGGTAACTAGATAACCAACTAGGAACCAGCTAACAAGTGACTGTCTAAATATTTAAAATACAGCTCTTGTTTAGATCATCCTTTGTTTTGATCACCTTCTTGGGGGGGGGGGAGGAGCCTGCTGGTCACACTGGAAATATATTAAGGCCAAATCTTCTGATATCCATTCCCAGAGGTTTCTTTCAATTGGATTAAGCCTCCAACTCCAGGGCAAGCCCAAGTTTGTGGCCTCCAGCATTAATGCTCTTCCCATCTACCAGAGCAGACAGTGTAAGCTTGACACCTGTAAACAAAAGCAGGCAACGATGATTTGCCTGAAACACCTCAAGAGTCTGCAGTCTTTAGTAATTGGCCCAGAGCTTGCCTGTCCCTCCCTCAGCCTGTGAGATGACCTACTAGTGCCAGCCACCAGAGGGCACTTGGGAGTTCCAGAAATACTGGAGAGAATTCAGGTGGCCCCATCCTAGGTTAAGGATCAAATAACAGAGCATTAAAAATGTTAATGAAGTTCAAAGTGCTCTAGAAAATACAGTAACATTCAAAACACTATTCAGACTATAAGACATTAAAAGACAATTGTATTTGCACCAGGACAACTATAATAAAGAGATAAGTGGGGAAAACTGAATGTAGACTATGTATTATGTATTGTTCAACTAAGTAATTTCCTTAGCTGCGACAGTGGTATTGTAGTTATGAAGAAAATGTCTTACTCTGGGAGCTGCGTGTTAGGGAGCTGTGTCTGCATGTCTGCAAAACATACATTTAAATAACTGAAAAGGGGATGTGGAAAAAGGGGAATATGTATGCAGATATGCAAGAGAGAACAGATATAGGAGATGTTAATCAGTGAATATGGGAAAGGGTATACAGGTGTTCTTCATAAAGAAGGTTTTTCATAAAGAACCTAAATTCTTTAGGTTTCAAAAAGGCCAAATAAAGAAAAGTTTGGGGGAATATCCCTATTTGAAGGGAGAAAAAGTTCCAAGTGCTTTAGAACTTGCTATTCAAGTGGTGGCAAGAACCAGTGATGCAGGGGCGCCTGGGTGGCTCAGTTGTTAAGCATCTGCCTTCAGCTCAGATCATAATCCCAGGGTCCTGGCATCAAGACCCACATCAGGCTCCTGGGATCAAGACCCACATCAGGCTCCCTGCTCAATGGGAAACCTTCTCCCTCTCCTACTCCCCCGTTTGTGTTCCCTCTCTTGCTGTGTCTCTGTCAAATAAATAAAATCTAAAAAAAAAAGAAAAAAGAAAAGAAAAGAAAACAAAAACAGTGATGCTGGCATCACCTAAGAGCTTGTTAGAAAGACAGAACCCTTCACCCCAGATTTACTGGATCAGAATGTACATTTTATAGCGAGAGTCCCCAGGTGACTCAGGCACACTGAAGTCTGGTAAGTACTGCTCTAGAAAACACAGCAAGCCTCCAAACACCACATAAAAGAGACTACAGAGACCAAGCAATGAGTGAACCTTGATTAGAGAAATAAACATCACTAGAAGGCATTTCAGGTACGAGTGAGTAAAGTGACTACAGAAGGGACAGTAAATAATAATATGGACTATTAACTTTCTTAGGTGTGATAATGGTATTATGGTTATGCAGGAGAACAGACGTTCTTATTTCGAAGTAGACGCATGCTGAAGCATTTAGGGAGGTGTCAGGATAGCCCCAACTTCCCAAGAGCCCAGCAAAAGAAAGGGGAAAAAAGGAATAAAAAAAACTGTGGCAAAAGATAAATGTGTTCACTGTACTCTTTGAAAGGTTTACGAAGTAAGAAACTGAGAAATGAAAAATAATTTTTAAAACACCAATCCTACTTATCAGGAATACTTACCAGGCCTCAGAGTCTGAGTGTAGCCCACTCCAATTAAACTAGAGTTGTTGACTTTTGCCTAAAATAAAATACAAAAACAGCTGTAAAAAAAATTTCTGAATGGAGAGAGGAGAGATAGCCCCTGCAGGTTTCCCTATTATGCAAATTATGAAGTATTCCGCTTTTTTTATTCACATGTGAGATAATAAATTTACACAAACCAAGAGAAACTCTGGACTCTGGAAAACAAACAGGGTTGCAGAAGGGGAGGTGGCTGGGAGATGGGGGAACTGGGTGACAGCATTAAGGAGGACACACGAAGTGATGGGCACTGGGTATTATACACAACTAATGAATGAATGAACACTACATCAAAAACTAATGATGGGTACTGTTACATTGGCTAACTGAATTAATTTTTTTTTAAAAGACTTGTATAAAATAAAGATTTCATAACATTTGGGAAAAAGTAAGTACAATTTAATACTATTAAAATTTAACACTATTACTAAGCCCAACAAAACCCAGGTGCCACTTAATTCTTATCCATTAAACTCCAAGTCAAACTGTCAGCAGGACACAATATTCTTGGTAGTAAAAAGGTTGACAACCTCTGACATCAGAACAGATTTGGAAATTATTTGATGTCTTCACTCTTTTTTTTTTTTTTAAGATTTTTATTTATTTATTTGACAGAGATCACAAGTAGGCAGACAGGCAGGCAGACAGAGAGGGGGAAGCAGGCTCCCTGCTGAGCAGAGAGCCCGATGCGAGGCTCAATCCCAGGACCCTGAGATCATGACCTGAGCTGAAGGCAGAGGCTTTAACCCACTGAGCCACCCAGGCACCCCGATGTCTTCACTCTTTTATACTGTGTAACATCGAAATAGTCCAGAGAGAGAAATGGGGGGCCATCCACCCCCAACAAACCCAATAGACAGAAATCACAGGAACAGCACTTGGGTTCACATGGCAGTAGAGCCAAGTCTTCTGAAGCTACCAAGGACCAAGTAAGCTGTAAATATAAGGAAGAAATGACCCCCTAGTGACCACCCTGTGCCCAACAAATTAAGAGCCTCAGATAATTGGATACAAGTTTCTCCTATTTTTGAACAGAAGTAAACCATGAAACCGTGATAGGACATTAAACAATACTTCAGGGTGATGCTTAATTGAGGGCACAGAGCACTACTTAGGTGGGAAATGCTGGGTACATCTCCAAACAAATCCCCAGAAGTCACTCAATGGCACACGGACCCAAAGCTGCCTTCCCATTTTAGACTACGTGACCACTACACTGGCTGGCACAAAAGCCATGCTGCTGCTGTAGACATACATCTGAAAAGAACAGCAACGTAGCTACCAGGGAGTAGCATGCTGTGTGAATCCTAAGGTCTTCAGTGCCACAGTGCAATCAGAAACAGAATCAGAAATCAGAAGGGAAAAATAGTAAATGAATCACTGCCTTACCAACCAATGGAAAGCATTCCAGATGCTTCTCACGCTCTCTGATTACAGCTGCTAAGGTAAGAATGGGGCTAAAGCTTAACTGCCCAAATTATCAAAAACATTGTTCTCACTTTATGTAACAGAAATAACTCCTGTGGAAGGTTTAACTTTCTTTAATTCCCAGTACGTACAGTACAGGCCGTGCCTGACACACAGGAACAGCTGCTGACCTGCCTGAAACCAGAGCCAGCATCTCTACACTGTCAGACACTGCACTCCCTCCTGCCCCAAAACTCACTAGGACTGAAAGAGGAAGTAGCAAAAAAGCCCAAGGACATGAGTAGGGTGGCCATCCACCCCCAACAAACCATGATAGGCAAGAGGGAGTCCTTAGGGCACAAGACTTTCAAAGTTAAGGCCGGAACAGTCCCAGGCAAAGCAGGATGAGCTAGCTGGTCACCCTAGACAGGAGGGAAATCAAGACACGCAAGCCCGATCCTGGCTCTACCCCCTTTCTTCTCACTCTCCTTCCCTGGCAGTGATCTAAGTCCTTTCTCTTCCAAGCTTTATCTCCACCTGCAAAATGGCATTTGTACCACTGACCCCTAAGATCAAATCTAAAAGATATTTTGTAAACCCTAAAGACAAAGTAACAAAGTATTATTATTCCACAAAGAAAGACAAAGTAGCAATTAAAACACTATTACTCCTGGCCTGCTGCCCGAAACACTGGCTTCCCTGGGCTTAGACAGGCTTGGAGCTCAGGGTTATTATCCACAGGAACTGAGCAGCTTTTGAGGTTAAACAAACTCCTGTGACCTGGATATCAAAGTTCTAACACTGCCTCCACAGCAAATGCATGCAGCATTACAAGTTCTAATCCCAATCTGTGAGTAAACTAGGGATTGTGGGAACCATGGTTCAAATTTTCAGCACAATTCAAAATACCCAAAGATGAATTCCCACAACCAAAGACCCCATTCTAAGCCCACAGGAGTAGCCAGTACTCACAGAAATGGAAGCAGTGGGATCCAACTGATACTTGGCTGCAATGCCAAAGCGAGTGCTGTTGGTACCTGATGTCCAAGCAAGGTTTACTGAAGTGTCAAGATCTTCACATACTTTTTGATAAATTGATCCTCCAAATTCTGTCCCATCATTGCTGTAAAATATTTTAAATTTGTAAATCTAGAACAGACAATGTAATGTCTGCGGCACTAGGCCGATACTGCAGCAGTACAGTTAAATACAAAGCACTGGGACTGTAGTATTCCACTGAAAACGTGAAAGTTTTAAAAGATCTTTATCCCAACCTATGCCCCCAAATAAGGGATCATATAAATCATGATACACCCATCCAGTAGAATTCCCAAACAGCCACTAATAATCATGTTGTAGAATATATAACGCTACAGTAAGATAATTAAAATGTACTAAGGAAGGAAGGAAAGAATTACAAACCAGCCTTTCTGATATGTATTTTATACACATACACATATATAAAAAAGATGGAACTCCCAAACATGAACTAACAAAGATTAATTATCTAGGTGGTGGGATTGTAAGAAATTTTGGTTTTCTTCTTTGCCCTTCTGTTATTTACCAATGCTTTATTTTATAAGGGAAAAAAATTCTTACGTCCTTTTCACATGTAAAAACACCAGACATTTTAGGCAATCCCACCAACTCAGTACCTCACATTATCACAATTAAGTCAAATGAACACACTGGTAATTTGGCAACATCTTAGCCTTTTCCAAAAATCCAAAGCACATTAAGCCTCATATACAATAAACATTTACTCTCTCAGCACCTAAAGTCAGACCAACATTTTTTACTACATACTTTGAGAGGTGCCCAGAAATGCCCAAGGAAGATAATCTTTTTGTGTTAAGAGAAATCAACTGTACCCAGATCAGTAAGAGATGACAGGTGACATCAATATCATCCCCAGGTCCTACATCGCAATAATCCCAAAAAAGAAATACTCACACATTAGTGTGTAGTTGGAAGTCCCCAGTCCTGTAGCCCACTGCAAAGTTATTTCTTGTCAGCTTTGATTTGGCACTGTCAAAAGTCATCTGGTACCCAGCAAGCCAGCCTTCGTAACCAAAGACAGCTGAACCATGGATTGCAGGTCCAGCAAAATCAAAGTCAACATCACAACCAAGGTTTATACACTCCCTCTTGTAAGAAGACTTGATTTTACCACTTTTCTTTCTGGAAAAAGAACAAACTGACTTAAAAGTGATGCCAGTGAGAAAGACTTACATACATAACTTCTGGACAAAGGACACAAAACAGATTTATGAACTGCAGTAAAACAGGAGTAAAAGCAGTTGCAGGATAATCCTAAGAGGTCAAGAAAATATAGCTCAATGAAGCTAAAAAACAAGGATACTTGGGGTTAATGGACTTCCACCACCATGAGAAGACTGCTTTTGCAGGACTGACAGTCACAAAAGCCTATTAGAATTATGTTAATTACCCAAGTTAGTGCCACAATGAAAAGAGGTAAATATTTGAAGGGAAGCCAACAAGAGCAACCATAGTACTCCTCTCCAAGGCAGAAATAGAAATTCACCGCAAGGTAGTTAAGTAAGCTATCAAACAGTAAATGTGCATCTTTCCTGAAGAAACAGAGAGAAAGGCTTTTAAATTTAAAGCAGATAAAGGGGCACCTAGCGGGCTCAGGTTTGTAGAGCATGCAACTCTTTTTTTTTTTTTAAGATTTTATTTATTTCACAGAGAGAGAGAGATCACAAGTAGGCAGAGAGGCAGGCAGAGAGAGAAAGGAGGAAGCAGGCTCTCTGCTGAGCAGAGAGCCCAATGTGGGACTTGATCCCAGGACCCTGAGATCATGACCTGAGCCGAAGGCAGAGGCTTAACCCACTGAGCCACCCAGGTGCCCAAGCATGCAACTCTTGATCATGAGTTGATCTTGGTCATGGGTTCGAGCCCCATATTGGGTGTAGAGATTACTTAAAGATAAAAATGAAATTTAAAGCAAACAAAAAAGTCCACGCTTACCCCGTGTTTGGTGAAAAGGTGGTATCAAATGTCAGTTTCAAACCTTGACAAATCTATTTTGAAAGAAAAAGAATTTGTTTTCAGCTATATTCCCTTTTTGAAATACAAAAATAAACTAATACTGAAACGCAATATCAAAATGTTACCTGGTCTTCAATTGCGATTTCTGTTCCCAGAGTGTTATCAGTGTTCCATTTTTCTGTGAAAGTCAGACCATACTCACACCATTTATATTTGGTCTCCAAGGTTCCAGTAACTTTACCAGTGTCTGTATTAGATGAACCAGACGTTGAGAATTCCTAAGACAATAAATGACTTCATGAGCTTTCTTGTAAGCCTAGAAGAATCACTGCCTAACTTACCTAAAAAAACCACCTAAACACAGTAATTTCACTAACCCTTTTTTTCCCATTTCCCAAATACTTCTACACTCTGCTACTGAATGTACAAACAACAAATTGCCTGTCAGTTACTAACTGCCACCTTACTTACACTTACATTTTCAACCAAACAATGACAAGTCAACTTGTATATAATTCTCAACAACAAACTGTACACCTCTTAAGGAAACTTCCGCTAAGGTGATTTTTTTGGAATTCAAGAATCAGGGGAATAGGAAGGAATGAAAGGCGAGGAATGAATGTTTCAGCACTGTATCCAATCTGCCTAATATTAAATAAAACACTATAAAGGTCAGTATGGTTAATCACAGAGCCCCATCACTAAAATGGGCATTCAACAGTAACTGAAACACTATTAGGAAATGTTCCCTGAAAAGAAATTTTTTTTTTAAGATTTTATTTATTTATTTGAGAGTGACAGACAGACAGCAAGAGAGCACAAGTGAGGGGCAAGGAGAGGGAAAAATAGGCTCCATTCTAGGACCCAAGGATCATGACCTTAGCCAAAGGGAGATGCTCAACGGACTAAGCCACCCAGGTGCCCCTGCTTCCTGAAAATTCTTAAAAGGGAAAGCACCCCACTGTAGGAATTCATGCCATGAGAAAAGATTTAAAAATCTTTGGTGACTCCAATATTCTGTTTTTCTGAGATAAAGACTCTTCACCAGATTTCATACCTTCCCAATCATCTTTCACATTCTCGTTTAAAAAGAAAAAAAGAAGGGAAAAGGAATTATAGGAGATTTACTCTACAGCTGGTTTATATCGTGCATAATGTAAACTATATTAAGTACAACAGATAATATCAGTAGAAAAAAAACAATCTAACACAAGTATCAACTTAAAGTGCATTTTATAATCTTATGTTTATACCAAACACAAGTAACTTGCCAACCCCTAATTGCACACCAAGTGAAAAGGAAGGCGTAATATGAAGGGCTTACTGAAATTTAAAATCTGCTACAGAACAGCTAAAACTCTACTAACCTTTCAGAGCTTGGTAGACAGCCAAACCGCCAAGACAAAAGAGTTTAAATACCCTCTGAGCATTCTGATTCACAATTTGTCTGCTAATGATGGCTATGTACTTTGGCCACTGAAAGCCAAATCTAAAGACAGTTGATCCGAACTAATAAAGAGAACTTGACCTGAAATTGTGATGCCTACAAGAGTGAGAAAGTATCAAAAACTGTATCAATAGGAGAAAAAGCCAATCATGCTTCACTTAGAAAATAGAACATTTCTACAACTATTGCTCTGCAATGAGACAGACTCAATATCCTGAAAGAAGACACTTTAACAGGAATTTCAAGTCAAAGCTTGGCATTCAATGCCAATATTAAAAAGCACAGAATTATGTCAGGAAAAAAACACCGGATATAAAATTAAGAGTCCTGGCATCCAGTCCTGACTATCATCTGCTAAATGAGTAACACTGAGAAAGACGTTGAACTCTCCTGGGTCTCAGTTCCCTCAAGTGTAATAACAAAATCTACCACTGGAGGATTAAGTTGGACAGACATGAAAGCTTTACACATTTTCCTGTGCTTTATACAAAAGAAAAGCATGATTAAAACAATATATACGGAGCATATTCTTCTAGCAGGTACCTGGAATGGGGAATGTGTAGAAGTAGGTATTTTTAATCCTGAGTGACAATGATTAATGACTCTGGAGGCCCCAGCCCCTGCCACCCAGCAGCCTATAGAAAATGACCTAGCCTATATACACCCAAGGAACCCTCAAGACACAAAATCAAGATCACACAGTGGAACTAGAACTGGACCAGATGACAAGACTGGCCAAGCTTACACCCTTCACTCCATCACCAACTCCATCACCAAATACTCTGTCTTTTACATTGTGGAATGAACTGGACACTTCTGCAGTTTAGATGAGAAAACAGAACTGGCTGTTAACAGGGCTTATTTGGGGCCAGGTACATATAAGATCAGTACCACGTTGAGATATACATTAAATAGAAACCAAAAAAACTATATGGAATCCAGATCATATATTTCCTTCATAATCTCAAACCTAATTTCGTAAAACTTTCTTAACCCTGTCCACAAAAAGCCTTTTCTCTTCAACAAAGATTTTGATTAACCAATCTAGTACTAGATATACTTCTCTGAATGTTCTCCAGTTTAAAATTTATTTTTTATCTCCAACCAGCAAGTAATAAGCTTTTTAAACACAAGAACTGAGTCTTCCCTTTTTTGGGGAAGGCCTTTTGTGTCTCAACTGGTGCATAGCAAGAGGTTAAGAGTGGGAACACAAAAAAACAAACACAAGTCACTGCTCTGTACCTTGAGCAAGTAAGTTGCTCAACCACAGTGAATATACTCAGGCTTTCTTCCAGACCAAAGAAGCCAAATGGCAGATACATCTAATATAAAACCCCAGAAATCCCAGCCTGGGCATTTTAATTTTAATAAATACTAGTTATATGCACTAAGGGAGTTAACAATTACAGCAAGAATTTATAAAAAAAAAAAAAAACCCAGGGGCGCCTGGGTGGCTCAGTGGGTTAAAGCCTCTGCCTTTGGCTCAGGTCATGATCCCAGGGTCCTGGGATCGAGCCCCAAATCGGGCTCTCTGCTCAGCAGGGAGCCTGCTTCCCCCTCTCTCTCTGCCTGCCTCTCTGCCTACTTGTGATCTCTGTCTGTCAAATAAATAAATAAAATCTTTAAAAAAAACAGCAAAATTCAATATTCACACACTATACCCATACTCAAAACAGTCTCAAAAGAAAAAATTTTTGAAGAAAAAAAAAATTCCACGAAATTAAGTTTTATTCTACTTTGAGTGAGTTAGGCAGAATCAAGGCATCCAAATACCAACTTCTTTAAAAATACTCAAATCAGGACTCTATAAATTCACAAAATTAACATGAAACTCTTCCAGAGAAGGCTGCTAGAATATGCCCTTTATATAAATGGTTAGTACACTCAAATTAAGAGTTACTGAGTATTGGGGCACCTGGGTGGCTCAGTGGGTTAAAGCCTCTGCCTTCGGCTCAGGTTATGATTCTAGGGTTCTGAGATCGAGCCCCACATTGGGCTCTCAGCTCAGCAGGGAGACTGCTTCCCCCACTCTCTCTGCCTGCCTCTCTGCCTACTTGTGATCTGTCAAGTAAATAAATAAAACCTTAAAAAAAAAAAAAAAAAGTTACTGAGTATTTTTATGCCCAGAACTCATAGTGCTTTTAAATAGGCATAAGAAGGATCAAAAAAAAGTTTAACAGGTTCCCTGATTTCAAGCTTGTAATCTGAGTAAACAGTCCCAAATAACCAGTCTTTTCTGAGTTCCTTGGGCATACACAGTAATATGGCAAAAGATCACCTGAAAATCAGAAATTATATCCAAAGCCCAAGTAAATCAAGTTTCATGCAAATTCCTTAAGACAAAATTAACTTTGCCTCTTCTTCAAGATAAAATGGGTAGACATTTTTCAGTGATGACTATTTCATGGGCTGAAAAGTTATATAAAGGCTCATCAGAATTTATTAGATCTCTAACACTCACCACACCACTGCATGACTTTGTTTTCACATCCAGTTTCACCAAACCAAAACCTTCAAGTAGAGAGCAAAAGATAACAAAATGAATCTCTTGTATAAAAAGAAGCATACCAATAGCTGACAACACATAAAAAAACTGAAGGACTTCATATGTTCAGAGAGGCATAAAAATGTGGATTGATACACCATATTTAAATGAAAAAATTTTAATTATTTTATAGAAACTAACATATACAGCACAGAACATCTCTAAGCAGCTTTGCCTAGTGTTCAGGTGTATATGTGGCACAAAAAAATTTGCTTTCAAACCATTTTAAAACCTAAAATCAGATCAGAAAATCAAATCTCAGAATAGCCAACAGTTTATTTTAATAGTCATTCAAAACAATTATCCCAAAAAGGTATCTTCCTTTGGGATTAATAATCTGAATAACTAGGAAAATAATCTGAAGTAGAGGGGAGTCTATGTGGAATAAAACCTGCAAGAAGAAAACACAAATTCATTTTAAAAAACTCATTAACCCACCAGGAGTCACCACAAAAGCAAAAGAATAATACATCAGAATTCTAGTCAACCAATGCCTAAGCTATATATGAAAGAAATGAACACAGTTGTTTTTTTCTTACAGGTAAATCCTTGAAGTAGTTTGAAAAAACTGGAAGAAGGTGGGCCAGAGGGAGATATGGATTATTACAGTACCATTTTAACAAAAATTTTATCGAAAATCTATCTAATAAATTATAGAGCAAGGTACTTGCAATTTGAAAAAGTTAACTTCCCCCAAGCAATCCAAACACATTTTCACTTCTGATCTGAAAGGAAAAAAAAAATTCTTACCAAATCCTTTGTTGAAAATATCTCTGGCAGCTTTGCCAAGGTCAGCATATGATGGAGGAATACACACTGCTGGTGGGAAGAAACATTCCAGTGTTAACCTTCCAGTTCTCCCACTTTCTTCTGTTGAGGAACTAGAATATGATCCACTACTACCTTTAAATTCAAGCGCTCCAACTTGTTGAAGAGGTTTCTGATACTACGAGGAGCTACAGTAAAACTAGATTTTAATGACCCCTATAATATCACCAATAAAGATTTATTTCTAAAATGGATAACCACCATAGGTGACTACACAAACTTGGGAGAGTGCTTCCAAAACACAAAAACACACTTTCTATTCCTAAATTTACACAGTACCTACAGCCTTTCACCTCTTAGGACCCAACCAGTACAAAGAATCAAACACATACACATAAATATATCTATACCGTACACCCAGAGAGATCACAGATATATCCAAAATTCACTGGAATGGGCTGATTTAACCAAACGACATAAAACCAAAACCTAAGACAAGGTCCTCTTCCCTAACAGATCTCTTCGTATCCTCAATGAGTTCTTAAACCAACATTCTGGAGTGGGAAGAGAAAGATAATTAACACTTGGGTCATTTAAATGTTGGAACTTAGAAAAAAACACGATCATCTAGGTTTCACTAGTGTCTACATCAACTAAATATCAAATAGCATTTTAAGCCTGTTAATACGACATTCAAGTCCTCGGCCAATGCTATGCGGCTTAAGGGCAAGCAATCTGGGTGGTTACACCAGCTCATTCATTCTACAGAACACGTCCACGCCCTTAGGAGCACATGTAATGACCTTGCGCTCTCACAAGGGGGGTTACTACTCCCTCTAAAAAAGTGATCCAATCCTCCAAAGGCCGAATCCAACAGTTACAAACTTTTGGCTTCTGAGTTCGTCAAAGGCACGTCCAAGAACTAAAGGCGAATGCGGCCAAAGACCAACTCCCCTGGCCTAGACCCTCCATCCGAAATCCCGCAGCCCAGCCCCTCCTCCGCAGAGGGGGGGGGGGCCGACGGTAGAGTGCCTACCTAAAGAGGAGAACTTCCAAGTCTTTGAAGAGATCAGGGAAAAGAAGCTGTGGTTTTCTGGTCGACAGGCTTCGACTGTCCAGCCAACCCCGCCCCATCCCGCAGAGATCGCGGGTCTACTTACGCCGCGCGCAGCTCTGTCCGTAGGTCGCCATGGCGAAGCCACAGGAAGAGGTGATCTGCAGGAGTGACAAGAAGTGCGGTCAGCGGGGGTCAGAGGCAGGTCAAAGGGCCAGAAAGGGGGTCTCAAACACACACAGGCGAGGAGCCGCGGGGCAGCGCGGCCATCTTAGGGAGCCAGGGCCGACCCAGAGTCTGGTTCAGGCGTCCTGCTTGGCCGCCGGGGCCTAGACAGCCAAGTGACGCGCCGCAGCGTACCTGGTGGTCTCCTGAGAGGGTCCGCTATCGCCGTTCCGCTCGCAGCTGAGGCCGCTAGGCTCGCTCAGGACCAGGGTGCAACTACCCCAGCTGGAGGGCGAAGTGAAGGAGACACCGTTCCGCCCGCCGCAACCCTGTCCTCCCCCCGCCAGGACCCCGCCGATGCCCCCGCGGCTGTCCGCCGCGCCGGCCCCCGCAACGCCGCCTGCTGTCCACCCCAGCCTGCTCCAGAACGGCCACGAGGACAGAAGGCACCCTCGCCCCCGAGGTGGGCTGCTTCTCTCCGTCGGCGGGTGCCGGAAAGATAGAAGCTGCTGGACCTCGGGTCAGGCAGCGACGAGGGCAGCCCCAGAGACGAGTGGGCGGGGAACGGCGGAGCAGCGAGGTAGGGACTGCGCGTGCGGGGGGATGGGACGGAGGCCCCGCGCGCGCTCCTCACGGGCGGGGTGGGGCGTCAGGCGCGTGCCCGCGGGGAGCCGGGCTCCACTAGGCGCGGCTGCGCACCACGGGGGTCACGTACTACTCTCCACCCCTGGCTCCCGTACTCTGCTTAACCAGTCTCCGTACGGTGCGTGTGGAGGGAGTCAGCTGAGCGTTACCCGGTCTACCCCGAGCAAGTGCAGCGTGCACTTCTGAAAGACTCTCTCTCCAGGCCCAGGGAGAGCGAATGCGGCCGTGGGGCGCCACCTCCAGCCCCACGTGCACTCGTTTCCTTCGTCCACCTCCCATCGCGGCGTAATGGCCATGCTGGGCCGGGCTCGGCCGGAGAGGCTCTCCTGGAGAGGCTGCCCCTCCCTGAACAAACCTGAGCCTGAATCAGGGTACCCCGCCCCTCCCCCCCCACCCCCGCTTCATGCTTTAGGGTTCCTCTTCTGCCGCCTCCTCCGGGGTTAAGGGGATTGGACTGCTTTGCACACTCACCCAGCCCGAGCTGTCTTGATGAGTCAAGCCTGCTAGAAAATTTAGGAATCTTGCTGACCAGGCATTAGAATGTTGCACTCGAGTTCCCCGAGTGTGCACCAAGAGTGAGGAAGCTGAGGGAACAAGAAAAAATGAGCCGTCCTCATGAGAAATAGGGTCAGTTGAAGCTCTGGAATCAATCGCCAATCTCAGCATTTTATCCTTACTGTAATCGCAGTTTCCTCATCAATAAAATGACATATTTAATCAATAAAATGACATATTTAAATGAGACGCGGTGGTCTTTAATAGCCACTCAGCCACACACAATGGGCAAAACTTCCCCCAACCCCCATCTCTTCCAGCTCTGAAAGCCTCCTCTGCTCAAACGCTGCTGAGATTCCACCTTCCTCCTAAACAAGATGAAAACTAGGTAAGATTTCCACAAGGCAAACCCAGATGAGAGGTGCATCGTGGTGGACTCCCTCCCCTGTGCAAACCCAGCCGGCAACCTTGCCTGGTCATGGTTGGAATTACCCCTGTAACAGATTAGCAAAGGAAGGGTCTTTGCCCAGGCACCAGAATCCCTGATTAATTCTTCCTTCAAGCTCAGACAAGTTGAGCTGAAATCAGCTTGGCTGCGCTGGAACTTTTTTCTCTGGCTTTTTGTGAAGCTAATGGCAGAGACTGATGTCTCATCTCAGATGCAGTATAACACAACCACCTTCCTGGAAAAACCTAGACTATGCTCAGTTACCTCCATTACCTGCAGTAGGGCTTAATCCACTCTGAGAACTACCTGTAGCATTTTTAACCCCCAGAGAATTTCACTTTGCCACAAAACACAGACCTGAGGCTTTAGCCTCTAGGAACATAAGGAATGTACACAATACCCAATAACCAAGAGAAGAATGATGGTGATTTATTTCGAAGTTGGATTCAGTAAATATATTCTAGTGCTTTCATTCAAAGCCCTTTTGGGGTGCCTAGGTGGCTCAGTCAGTGAAGCAGCCTTTTGGGGGCACCTGGGTGGCTCACTCAGTTAAGCGTCAGACTCTTGATTTTGGCTCAGGTCATGATCTCAGAGTGGTGAGATCGAGCCCCACTTTGGACTCTGGACTCTGAGTTGGGCAAGCAGCCTGCTTAGGATTCTCTCTCTCTCCCTCTGTCCCCGCCCTGCTCCTGTGTGTGGTCTCTCTCTCTCTCAAAAACAACAAAACCCCCAAAACATCAAAGTCTTTTAGACCAAAGCAGCATTAGTAGCAGCCCCCACTTACAGAGCAACTACTTGTGTCACCCACAGGGGAAGCAGAGTCCACTCAGCTGAACTTCCCGCTCTTAAGGCACTTCTGGTCCAGTGTGTGTGGAGGTGTCAAGAACTATGAAGGGTCCAAGATTTTGCCATTCTTGCAAGTTAATCTAACAAGTTAGTCTGCCTTAGTTTCACAGGTTCATAAATGTTGGCAGAAGACTCGAGACTCGAAGGCCAGAGAAAAAGGACTTTATTATTTGTAGCACGGCAGGTAACATACGATTCATGGTTGATTTAGTACTCCTTGCCCTCTCTGTCCCCAGGAGTGATTCAGAACACCCTACGTAGAAGCTGTGCACACTGTGTGTATGTGTATGAGACATACTTCTCAGGAAATATAATCTGCCCTCTGCCTCAGAGAGACACACTACCTCTATCTTCCAAGGCTGTTTGCTATGCAGACATCTTGAAAAGATAGTTTGGGATAAAAGCAGTCGCAAGACATGTAGAAACTCCATGGAAAACTGTCCCATGGCAAAGGATGAGGAATTCAGGAATTGCAAATACAGAGCTAAATGCAAGCACAGAGATTTGTGGGCATTGTCAGACTGAGAAGACACTTGCCCTAAAGTCTGAAAGGAGAGGTTATAAATATTAAAAAGCTTATTTAATATTTAATATAAATTTAATTTAATATAAATTTAATATAAATTAATATTTAATATAAATATTAAAAAGGTCAAGGACTGGAAAAGCAAAATTCTAGAAAGAGGCATGTGCAAACCCATACATGCTTCAAGTGGCAAGAATCCTTTGGAAACTACAAGTAATTAAGTAAAGATGGAAAAACCTGTAGGAAAGGTTGAGAGATTAGTCTAAAGATGTTGGGTGGAGTCAGATTCTGAAGGTCCTAAAAGCAGAAGGTCCTAAAAGTGAAGAGGAATCTAGGATGCCTGGGAGCAACATTTCTGACCTAAGCAACTGGAAGGACAAAGATTCCACTCAGTGTTGTAAGGGCTCCAGGAAGAGGAACAGGTGTGAGGATGGAAGATGAGGGAGTCAGAGGAAAGAGGGTGATTCCATTTCAGATAAGGATGAGGAGCCAGGGGCCACATCAACATGGAGTTGTCCGGTGGACAATTATGAAGCCTAGGAGAAAGGGTAGGAGACACTGCCATGAAAATTTTAGTTTTAATTATGACTATCCATGGGTGTGGTTAAAGTCAATAAGAGATAGGATAGCAATGAAGATAGCGGAAGCTTTTAGGAGTATTGCTACTCCAAGGGCACAGCAAATGGCCAGGAGACTAAAAGAAAATTCAGGAGGGAGTAACTTTCTGGAAGCCAAAGGTGAGTGGAAGCCAAAGAGCAGTGAGTGGAATGTTGTAGTATCTTAAAACAACGAAACATTTTATGATCTGAAAGTTTCTGTGGGTTAAAAATTGGCCTCGCTGGATGGCTCTAGCTCAGGGTCTCCCATCGAAGTTACGGTCAAGATATCAGCTGGGGCTCCAGTCATCTGGAAGCCATCTGTTCCCTCATGTGCCTCTGGCAAGAGGCCTCAGTTCTTCACCATGTGCATTTCTCCCTAGGGCTGCTTCACTGTCCTCATGAATGGCAGCTGGCTTCTCCCAGAGCAGGTGATCCAATAGAGAAGATCAAAGCCTCAATTTCTTCCTTTTTTTTTTTTAAGATTTTATTTATTTATTTATTTGACAGACAGACATCACAAGTAGGCAGAGAGGCAGGCAGAGAGAGGGGGGGCAGCAGGCTATTCACCAAGCAGAGAGCCCAATGCGGGGCTCGATCCCAGGACCCTGGGATCATGACCTAAGCCGAAGGCAGAGGCTTAACCCACTGAACCACCCAGGTGCCCCAAAGCCTCACTTTCTCATGTGATCCATCATCAGAAATCACACTGTCATTTCTGCCTTATTCTGTTTGTTAGGAGTTATTCAGACCAGTCCATGCTCAAGAGGAAAGAAATTAGGCTCCATGTTTTGAAAGGAGTGTCAAAGAATCTGTGGATATATTTTAAATAAATATATATATATATATATATATATATATATATATATATATATATATCCATATATATATATGGATATATATCCACAGTCTGGTCACATTATTTACATTTCTCCTACATAGAAAATATATTAACTCCCTCCCAAGGCCTCCCCCAAACCTCCAGCCTTTACAGCACCGGCAAGAGGCTTCTCAGGTATATTTCCTTAAGTACAGCAACTTCAGCACACTTCCTCTTGACTCGAAGACCTATGAACTAAAGAGACAAGCTGTCTGCCCCCCAACACATACATACATCTAACACACATGGGGTAGGATAGGCACAGGATAACTGCTAAAGATACCCGTGGTCAAAAAGGGGGAAATAGGGCATACACAGGAGTCCATAGCAGTTCTGAAATCCAGCCAGGCGAATTTCCTTATTAGGACTCAGTCCTGTTGCTGCCTGTACCAGATGAGGTCACATAGGGAGAGACAGCCTGAGATTCACAGAATTTCTTTTCCTGCCCCAGGCTCTGTCACACAATGTGAGGGGTACACCCCAACCCACACATCCATCCCCCTCACATATACACACTCCTTGACCACTGTGTGGGCTTACGGGTGTGTCACTGGCAGTTCAGTTCATGCTGAAGAGAAAGGTCTCTGGGAAAGAAATCCATGCAGGCCCGGAGCAAGCTCAGGACTGTTTCAGTGGGGAAGACAGAGCTTCTGTATCCACAGTCTGGTCCAGCTACGGAGAGGGTGATCATGAGGGCATGTTTCTTTGGCCCTGCAGACTCCTCACCCCATAAGAATAGGCAGAGAAGAATAGCCTGAGAAGGTTTTGAGTGGGGCGCTCTAAAGTAGGAGGCCCAGGGTGGGAGAGCCCTCTTGCCCAGGTCTAAGGACAGTGTTGGGGCTAAAAACTGGGAATCTTCATGTGATTGAAACAAACACATGCGAGAAAGAGGCGGGGGGGAC